GTCGCTTAAGTTAGAAAAAATTAAATCAAGTAGATTGCTGCCGCTGACATTATCAATGCACTGATTAAGATTTAGTAGACACGTGGAAGTGTAGATCGCATCTCCCTTAAGTTTCGAGTAATAATGAGAATTGGGCAGAGCTAAACCACTTTTCCAGTCGAAACCAGGGGCATTAAAATCCCCAACCATAATTACTCGAAAATTATGGGTATCCAGATTGTTTTCTAAAAAACGAAAGTAATTAGCAATGTTTTCAGGATTAGCGTCAGGAGGAAAGTAATGATTTCCAATGAGAAAGTTGAGGCCGTCTGAAGTGGGGATTTCAACCCATACACATTCATCGCAAGATTCTAAATCGTATCTGCGTTTACAAGAGCGAATTTTGGAGGATAGGGCAGTGAGAACTCCGCCACCACGTGTCTTATTTACAGACGCCCTGTCAGAACGGAAATAATAATAATAATAATAATAATAATAACAATAACAACAACAACAACAACAACAACAACAATAATCATGGTGATGATGATGATGATGATGATGATGATGATGATGATGATGATGAGAGGCCAACATCAACACAATAAACATGTTCGATTAGCATGTATTAAATGTATTCATCAATCAATTTTATCTGTGATTTTCTTGTGACTGTTGTTTGACAAGTTTTATATTCAGTACCGGTTGCACACTTATGAATACTCTGAAACGCTAATGTATGTATGTATGTATCACGTGTTCCTTATTAGAATGTTAGGTGGTTAGATCTTGCAGATTTTTAACCCCCACCCCATATATCAATAAGCACTGTGGTGATTTCCCCAGTGCTGAATATTTTAGCAACTCTTTTATGTTCATTACCTGACAAATTATTTATATACTTCAATTTACAATCAGTCCTAAAACTGACACCCAAATTTCTATCCTTAAGGAATTCAAAAATATTCTTACACGTGGAAAATCATGTATATTGCAAGGACCTTATTATGCAACCAAAAGGCTCTGAGAATAGACAAGAGATCCAAACGGTTATATTTATGATACACGGTCTTCAAAATATGAACTAATATACTGAGTGCTTGTTTCTTGCTTGGCTTTCTCTTCAACCCTGAAAATGAAGGGAGTAAATTTCTGCCAAGCTACAAGGCATTACATCCCAAAATACAGCATTCCTTAAAAACTAACACAGTTCAAATTATTTCCTGAGAGAAGGAACCTTATTGATAAGTTCACAGAAAATAAAGAATAAATTAATCCAGCATTATAGGACATCAAAGTTTGAATCCAGTTTATGTACTTCGCTGCAGCAAAAGCATGTCACTCAGATAAAATTCAGCATACATGACCACTGCCTTGAAGAGTTTAAATATTACTCACACTACCCATAGATGTGACTGCAACTTGTCATCATAAAAATTTCATGGTTTAGTCCCTATTTATACAAACTTTCAACGAGCTCAAAATGCTTAGAAATCTGGAAAGAGAAAACTTCTGTGGGTGTTCCTTGGCACATTACATGCTGTTTAAAAGTTGAAAAATAGCAGGACTGGAAAGCTTTGAACGTTCATATCAAGTGCCAAAACAACTGTTCACTAATGTCTATAATATTCATATCTGTAATTGCACCAAGGGTCAGACAAACAGAAACAACATCTTGATGGGTTTCTAAAAAAACAATATTCAGAAACCATGCATAAATTTAGTGGACACCTAGTGGTACTGCTATGAATATTATCAACAAGAAATGGTAGATATACTGGAAGAAAACTGGGAGCAAACTAGAAGTTCACTGTTATAGCCACTAAACATTATCACAAGGTCTCACTGCTTATTTGAATGGTTGGATGAAGTAAATACATCAAATGTCACCACTGTCATCATTGTGGTCATATCATGATCATTAGCATCATCATCCAAAGTTGTTCCCAAAACAGTGGGTTTCCTTGTAACAAAGCCCCTTGTAATTTCTCTGTCCTCCAATAAAAGCTCCCCTTGTATCTTGTCTGTTCTTTCCAAACTCTATTATGTATATTATCAGCCACTTATATTCCCACCAAAGTGGATTTCATGACAACAAAGTCTCCTCCAGTCTTCTCTATTTTCTAATTAGAACTCTTCTTATATCTCTTTCCATTATTTCGCTATTCTGACCATCACTGTTCATATAAGTTCCTAAAATGGTTTCTCTTATGACAAAGCCTCCTCCAATAAGAGCTCCTCTTCCAGCTCTGTCCACTCTTTCCTTATTCAGTTTTCTATATCCTCACTCATTTATAATCATTATTCATTTGTGTTCCTGCAATGGTGGCTTTTCTTATGATAAAGCTTCCCTTAATCTCTCTAGTCTTCCAAAAGACCTCCTCTTGTATCTATGTTTCAATCTTTCCAATTCTTTTCTATCTATCTTCCCTCATGCATCCCTTCTAGGGCTATATCAACTCTTGCAAGCAGTTTAGTATATACCATGGCCTTGACAATACAGTCCCTTTCTACAAAATTCCAAATAGGCCTTCCAAGCTACCATGGCAATGCCAGGAAAAGTGTTCTTACTTTAGCTCAAGTTGTTAGACAGTACTGTACTTCAGATGACCCTTACAACACAGTACAACACAGTAGATATGGTGCTGCCTCCAACGGTCATTCATCAAAGTAGTCATCAGTGCTCAACAGACAGATTCTTCCACATATGAAAAATTGTGGTTATGACTAGAAAAGCATTCCACAGTGCTCTACTCCATACTAAATCTTCAGAGAAAGCCATGAGTTCACTTGTCCAATGTAGGAATATCTTATCACAGAACTCACAGGTTCATCATTATCATCACAAAGGTTATCAATTTTTAGTCCACATCAAAACATATTTTTAAGGTCACTTGTAATGTTACCCTCCTGACAATGCTCTGGACTTTTTCATATACGAGGGTTGGAACTTTAATACTGGCAACTATTTATTTACAACTGATACAAAATAGATACATGTTTCAAAGTTTTATTGTCCTTCAATGTAGTCACCAGCATTGTGTACAACACGTTGCCAGTGATGTGGAAGTCGTAGGATACCTTTAGCAGCGCCTGTTGTGTTGATAGTTCGAATGGAGCAGTCTACTGCCTGAAGAATCTCTGGAACAGTTCTAAAGCGAATGCCATGAAGTGGTTCCTTCATCTTAGGAATCAAGTCAAAGTCACAAGGGCTTATGTCCAGGGAGTATGGTGGATGGTACAGCACTTCCCAGCCCCATCAATCGAACAAATCAGCCACAGCCTGCAATGCATGCAGCCGAGCACTGTCCTGCAAAATGATGGGTAGGTTCTGCAGAGAGTGTCGTTGCTTCTTTCTCAAAGCGGGTCGCAGGTTGTGTTTCAAAAATGAACAGTAATTCTGCGCATTGATGGTCTGCTGTCGGGAAACAGTATGCATTAGGATAACACCATCACAGTCATACACAAGAACCACCATAACTTTCACATTGCTGGGGTTCTGACAAAGTTTTGATTTTTGTGGTGACCCATAATAATGCCATTCGTTCGACTGGCGTTTCATTTGTGGCTCATACGATTTGGCCCATGTCTCATACAGCGTAATGATATGGCATAAAAAAGCCTCTCCTTCGCACTCATAGCGCTCCAAGTGGTTACGAGCAATGTTGTATCGTAGCCATTTCTGCATTTCCGTCAAATCATGTGGAACCCATCATGATGCAATTTTTCTCATGCCCAGGTGTTCCTTCAGAATGTGAAGCACAGTCGTATGCTCTAATCCTATCTCTCGGGCCAGCTCACGAATCGTATGGCATTGATCACTCTCCAGTAACGCAGAAAGAGCATACGCTTCTGCTTCACTGACACTAGGATGACATGGCCAACGCATGTCTGCCACATTTTGGCATCCCTCGTTGAAGGCTTTTACCCACCTTACCACTGTTCTGTAAGGCAATGCAGATTCCCCGCAAGCCTCTTGAAGACCTTGATGACACTGTCGTGCTGTACGGCCTCTGGCACATTCAATCTTTATACAACTTCGTTGTTCCTGTTTCGAAAACATCGTGACAACACTACATTAGACTGTCAGCTAACCTGTTCTTGTCACTGCGCATGCGCGTGATGTGGGAAGGGAGATTCCATTTGCTGTGAGGTAAGGTAGGTATGTAACTAACGTGTGGTATAAGTGACATTATTTGGTTCCAATGCATGGCATCTCTGCAGCAGTGTTGCCACTATTAAAGTTCCAACCCTCATATTATTTAACAGTGAATAAGATGATAGGATGATGATGTGTGGTGAAGTTGAAAGAACTGAGGAAAAACACAAAGATCCTCAGTCAGAAAAGGTTTTACCACATGCAAAATTCCGATTAGATGTATATCTAAAATACACATTAGCCGAAGTACTACTAAAATCAACTTGCATGACCCAAGTGGCCGCTTGCTATACCTCCCTAATAATATTTTGTATAATCTGCCCAAAGCTCTATGATTTAATTACCCTATTAATACAACGTGCTATCAGAAAGTTCCCAGACTGTTATTTTTGTAATTGCCTTGTTGAAAGATGAGAAGGGAGGCCAAGGTCACACTTTTGCAAGCCTAAAGCATAGTCTGCCACAAAACACCAGCTGTGAACATGTATTGTTTTAAGTACTTTTTGGCTTTATTTTTCCTTTCGTCTGTGATGGATAGCAAAATTGAGCAACGTGTCTGCATCAAGTTTTGCATGAAGCTCAGTAAATCAACTATCAAAACCTTTGAAATGCTTCATGAGGCTTTTGGAGAATATTCCTTAAGCCAGACAGCGGTTTTTGCGTGTCATTCATGCTTCAAGGCTGGCTGAGTGTCAGCTGAAGGTGACGAACATTCAGAGTGACCAAGCACCACAAAATTATAGAAACTGTTGAAAAAAATTGAGAAAAATCCATGAGCTCACAAACACCGTTTTGATCAGTTATGGAGATTGCCAGATCTTAACAGGAAATTTGAACATGTGCCATACTGCCATGAAGGTTGTTCCCTGACTCTTGACAAACGATCAAAAGCAGTGATGCATAAAAGTGTGTCTTGAGCTATGAGAGAAGGCTAATGAGAACCCAAATTTTATCTCTAGGATCATAATGGGTGACAGAAGTTGGATTTATAGTTATGATCCAGAAAAAAGCAACAATCACAGCACCCACAATTATCAAGAGCAAAAAAGGCACAGCAGGTCCAGAATTCAACAAATAGCATGCTCATTGCATTTTTTGACATGCGGGGGATTGGTCACCATGAATTTGTTCCTCCTAACACTACAGTCAACTCTGACTTTTACTGTGATGTTTTAAGACACCTGAGAGAAAATGTCAATGAAAATGACTGGAAATTTGATGCAAACACAGCTGGCTCCTTCGTCATGACAATTTGCCAGCCCACATGTCCCTGACAACCACAGAGTTTGTGACTAACAACAACATGGTTATCCTTCCCCATCCTCCCTACAAGCTGGACTTAGTCCCTTTTGATTTTGCTTTGTTTCCCAAATTTAAAATGAAACTGAATGGAGGACGTTTTGAAACAGTGTCTGATATCCAAAGGAAATCACATGCAGTAGTTGACAGCATTAAGGAAAATGACTTCCTTGGTGCTTTTGAAGAGTTAAAAAACTATGGGATCACTGTATACTTTCCCAAGGAGACTATTTTGAAGGAGATGGCAGTAAAAACTGACTAAGTTAAGCCAGCATTTCTTTTCTGATCTACTCCAGGAACTTTCTGATAGAACGTCATATGGTCAATGAACTTCCTTCATGTTAATTTCCTTAATACTATTGCTTAGTTCAACCCACTCAGAAGTTAGAATTTTCTTCATCCCTCTTTCTAATACCTGTGTATCGACTGGTGTGAAATACCAAACTTTGCAATCGTGAGAAACAACAGGTAAAATTGTACTTTCATATATTTTAATCTCAGGTCTTTACCAAGCAGACATGACAATAAAGGTTTCTTACTGAATGGTAGCATCCACTTACTCTGTTTACTCTGTGCCTAATTTTATCATTAATTGTATTTTCAGTACAGTGTAATTTCCATTCAGTTTTTCACTGAGAGTAAATCAGTTTGAATATCTAAAATGGAAAGCAACAAAATGTGGAATCTAATAAGAAAATAATTATGTTGGAACCACAAGAACTGCCCATTAAACAAGGAAGTCCTTAAATTTGGGAACTTTAAATGTGGTTTGCAGAACTTAGCCACAATTTCAATGAAACAGCATATAAAAAGAAGTGTGCACTGCTGCAATGCCAGGCATAAACCAAAGATCAATTACTGTACCTGAGTGTTGATGCACTGCACCAGTGGAGAAAGACTGCAGCCTCCATTATTAACCTGGCACTCATCAATGTCAGAACAGTAGTATCCATTGCCAGTGTATCCTGCAAACAGAGGTTTTAGCTGTTCTTAGCTTCGTTTCTTCATGTCCAATAATAGGTTACATAATACTTTCCCCATTTAAGGCGATTCCCTTTCCTATAAGCAATTTTAAGAAAATTAAGCTTTATTACTTGTTGATATAACATGCTTAACTACAATTCTCCTATACAAATATAAATTTTATTATTTCATCACTTCATAATGGTTCCTTCTATATCTATACAGCTTTTATGGTGGGACTCATTTTTCATTTTTCATTAGATACTTTATTAACCTTTAAACGCCGGACTTCGAAATAGTGGTAAGCTTGAGCTGGCTGGAGTTTATTTAAATGCCCACTACTGGTGCTCGTTTAAATGCCCGTTGCTACTGTGCGTTTAAATGTCCATTCCTGTTAGGCGCTTAATCAATTGTAAGCGTTGTGTTTAAAAATGCTGTATCTTGCTCAATTTTTATGATAAATGGGTGGAATTAACTTTGTTTATACCAGAAAAGGACATAGTGTCGCATATTATAACGGAAGATTTGAAATTTTAATACAAAGTGTTATTCACACTGATATATTGGGTTTTCGGACTTTATCCATCGTCCTGGTTTTTAAGATAACTTATAAAAACACGACGTTTCGGAAACTGGATCTGTTTCCTTCCTCAGGTGAAGGAAAACACCTATTCTGTTGGGTCCCTTAGAAAGAGCTAGCCTCAGTCACTAGACCACTAGACTAGTGTGTTATACACCATCGTCAGAATCCTATAGTAACTACAAAGTGTTATACTCTTTTTTGTGTGTGTGTTTTAATTTTGATGCATACTGCAAAAATGGTTTCCCAGTTCTTCACATAGTTGTTCTGCATTATAAATTCATTTCTGTTTGTAACACTTGACAAATTTTAGCAGTCCGTGGTGTCATAAAACAGATGGAAGCATAAAATCATTTGGTCTTCTGCTAGCACTGCTTACACCCTTCGGATTTTCGAATCTTTGACTGAAGGTCAGAAGAATGAAAGGATGGCTATTCAAGAGAAAGCCAGAGGGGTCCCTTCTTCAGTGCTAAAACCTTCCGTTAGAGCTGCAAAAGCTTACTGCCCCTTCTATTTCAATGAACAGACAGCTACATCATGGCTGAGATACAGAGCGCGATCTGTTTTGTGTGCGTTCGTAGTGAAATCGAATACTGTAGTTTCATTTTAACCTATATATACATCAAGCAGGTAACAACAAAAAAGGTATGTACATCGAATTTTACAATATATTTTTAACATACCTATCTGCAGAATCTGCAATAAAATTACTGGATCGTGGATCAGTTTTGGCATAACTCATACGTATATTTTTATTTGCTGTTGTTCAGTTAGGTATTATTTTAATTCCTCTATTAGGGTTTTACTCAAGTCTGTCTGGTAATTACTACATTTAAAAATAAATATTTAGGACTGTGCATGCGCTTCTACTAGCGGCGTGTGCGCGCGCTTCCAATAGCGGCCTTTAAATGCCAGACTGGCCAAAACGGGGTACTTTGGCCACGACGACCTTACTCATGACTGGCACAAACAGGGCACTTCGGCATTTAAAGGTTAAGAAATTGAGCAATTTAGTCTTCATTTACTAATCTTCCTGTGATTCCCTGCACATTTTTCTTCACCAGGAAATTTATATTTTTTAGTACTAGACACTGAGCATTGTGATCTGATAGTCCATTACTAACAGAGATTACTTCATATGAATTTATCCTTGCCTTATCTGTAAAAATATTATCAATTGCAGAGCTTTTGGTCTCAGTTATTCTAGTGGGAAACTGTAATGTATGAGATATATTATATGACTGCAACAGCAATAGCTCTGTTTTACGTGTTGACTCTTCTAAAAAATTTATGTTAAAATCACTACATATTATAAGTTCAATTTTTGGTTTATCATAGCATGTTATCATAGCTTGCAGTATCATGTCACCTGGTAGTGAAACATCCATGCTGATTAAATTAACACAAAATTATAAGGAAATTAAACTGCCAAACACTATGTTTTAACTTCTTTTATGAGAATAGTATAGAAAAAGAAGCCTGGATATATGCAAACAAACATTATAAGCCTGCATGGGTAATTCCATGCAAATATTTCAGTTAGAAGCAGTTCTTCATGCACAATTCAACATCTTACACAAGTGTTATAAGCTAGATTACCTAGAGGACATGCTCCACAGTAGAATGACCCTGGAACATTAATGCACTGGACAGTTGGGTTAACTGAACAGGCAGGGCGTGTATTGCTGCTACACTCATCAACATCCCACACGCAGGCACCGGTCCCTGAATGAGTAGTCCATCCCTACAGCACAGTGTAAGACAGGAGATGTTGTACTGTGATACAAGTTGTAGAATGCCTAAATCAAGTCGATCAGTCAGTGTACACACACACAACAAGGAACTAATACTGATGTGAGAGCATTCTTGAACTGTAATAGTCAAAGGTATTTTGATGCTTGAGTTATTGAAACTGGAATACTAACATTCAATCTGTTCTTAATTTCTTCATGAATCCAATTTTGATTTGTTAGTGTCATTCCCAGACACTTGAAAGTTACGACATGTTCAAAAATCCAATTGGCTATCTTTATGTAATGGTTTTGTCCTACATTCTGGTGATGAGGCATCAACATATACTTTGCTTTCTCTGTTTATGTCTAGGCCAACCTCCTTCTTACTAGGGTCTAACAGAGCTTCTGTGTTGTTCAATGGTGTTTGTTATCCTCTAATACAAGGGTCTCCGAAATACAGCCCACAGGCCACATCCGGCCCACGATGTGATTTTATCTGGCCCAATTGTACAGAAATGCGCCAATTGAACTAATTTTCCAAATAGTACTGGTAAAAGAATACTTATTCATAGATTTCAAATTCATTAATTAAGATTGTGTTTAAAATATAGTAAAACTTGGTTATAGCAACATCGGTTTCTGCGACACCTTGTCTATTGCATCAAATATTCAATGGTACGAACTAATTCCTCATAAAGCAACTGTTTTTATACCTTGCTTAGTACGACATGCACAAATGCATCAACCTCGTATGTAACGTCATTTTCATTCCTGAATTTCTCTGATATCGTGGGAAAAGTTCGATGTGTCTGCCCACCCTCACTTTCTCTACTTGCTGACGTGACTGTCCTGGAAGAATACGACCGCGGGCTGCAAGAGGAGCGTGGGTTTTATGCGAAAACAAGGGTGTGGGGTGGGACTGCGTGAATAGTGCAAGAGGACGCGGCAGGTTGTTAACTGCATTCCTTTCCTAGAATCTCGTCTAACAGGACCTCACATTGTCTACTTACCCTATAGTGTTCCTGCCTAAACCCAGAGAAGTGCAGTAGCGAAAACATGGTAATGAAAATGAAAGTTTTAAGCATTGAAGAGAAAGTTAAAGTGATTCGTGAAATACTGTGTGTATTGTCAGTGAAAAGCGCTGTAATATGTCTTTGATATTACACATTTGGGCAATTCCACGTTAATGTTACGTTAGTCTGTACTTAACTACGTATTTCACTAAAAAAAATGCAACATTTTAACTCGGTTTTTGGTAGATTTTTATGTGACTAACATAAGGCTACTGTGGAAGTGCCCATTTCGGTTACAACGACATTCGTTTATAATGACACTATTTTTAGGTCCCTTTGATGACGTTATAACCAAGTTCTACTGTATATTGATATTCCATATTATGCTAATATTAATATTATTCACAATTTTACTAATTCGGGACCGTATACTGCGCGGTATTTCTTCGTACTTGTTCGGCCTCAATCGGCAGTGTCACTTCGTGGCAATGTAGGTAGCGCGAGCAGTTCAGTAAAGGCCGTCTTGTGCACAAGACTTCTTGCGGTGGTGCAGTGTAATTGTAACAGATCATCATCACCGCCGGTGTTGTACTTATTACCATTTTTGTATTAAAGGCTACTTATGCCCAGTTTTGCTCTAACTGTTCCAAGAATTGGTAGTGAGGAATGTTGATAAGGCTACCGGAACTTTAGTCCATTCTACGGCGGCCGGCGTGGTAAGGCTATCAGTTACCCTTCCCAGCCTACAAAGGATGTTTCCAGAACGTTTCCTAGAGTTATTCATTTCTCATTTTATCCGGCCCGAAGAAAGTACTGAATTACCTAATGTTGCCCGCGATTCGAAAAGTTTGGAGACCCCTGCTCTAATACATTAATATCATCACTACAGACCGGACTCTGATTTCATTCTCCCAGGTTTTCCGTGGCCTTCCTAATGCCATCCTCTGAAGTAAAGTCACAAAGAAATGGCCATACAGTAAGTGGAAACTACAATAGGTAGTTTGAGAATCATTCAAGGGATGATTATGATTTTGGAGTATATGTTAACAGATATGAGGAAAGGAAAGTAGTTAGAGAATGTTAAATGAACTGGGAGGAAAAACAGTGAACTCACTAACAATAATGAATAGTGGAATTTTAATTTATATGTATTTTTATATTTCTCTCTAGTGTATATTGAACTGATACAAGATCCCTGTCATGATCGTAAATGTTATGAATTTTCCTAGTATATCAAACCTTCCATAATCCATGACATCATGAGAGAAAGAGACTGAAGAAGCATAGATTATAAAATCAATTTGGTCTTGTGGCATGCTCATTAAGCACAGTGGTAGCATCTTTTCTAAACAGCAATACAGACCATCTCCAAGCCACAGATGGAAGTATGAGGTTTAGACCAGAGGAACTATAGCAGCATATAAAAACAAAATTTTTAACATTTTCCTGATTCACTGGTACCACCATTCATATGCCATCACATCCTTAAAATCCTCTTTCATCTCATCTTCCAACAGCTTAGCAAGTCACTTGGTGCATACATCACTTGGTGCATACACACCTGCAGCTTATATTTCCCACAAACCCATATGGCATGGTCATGTGTTCACTCAACATGTTCAATCAGCTCACCTGATCACAGATACACTTGTAGTTTCTGCTTCCAGTGGTCTTTATGCTAACACATGTCCCATGGCCACACAGCTCTTCAGATGTGGAGCTCATACAGTCATCTGAGCGCCGCACACAGTGGACACCATACCAGCCACTAGCACACACACACCTTGCAACACAAAAACATAATGAACCATTTTATATCAGAAGAACAGGGTATTCACACAAAATACAACTGTTTTCCACGTGATGAAGTATAGCACTGATTCTTTGTATGTTTGTGGCAATAACTGAACATCAACTGCCTGACTCACATCTGATGTACATGCTGTTTCAAGAGTCTACACTACCGCAGTAGGCTACAAATTATCCCTGGAAATGCAGAATCCACCATGCAAACTTGAGAGATGGAAGCAATGCTAGTGGCACATATTTTCCTCTCAAGGAAATGTGATATTACAGATCCATGAAAAATATTGACATGTGTCCTGGTACCAAAACAAATAATTAATGGGTTCTGGATCAGATGAATCAATTTATTGGATATTCAGCAGGTGGAACTACAATTGTTGTAATGCCATCTTATTGTTGTTATAACAATTTGTAACTACAAACAAATACAACATTGTAACTATACCACATAAAATAAAGACTTCTCTCCTGACTTCTTCTTATGATTTCTGTTTGTCTTCTGTTGTATTCTGTCTTCTTTCATATTCTGTCTCCTGGATTCTCATCTCCAATAATCTCTAGTAATCTTCTAGTAATCCTCCTGAGGTAGCTCTTGGTGTACCGAATACAGGACATTAAGTCAAACAGATGATTTCTCTGCTGTCATGAAAATGGCCTTTCCATTGTTGTAAGAATAATATTTACCTATCTGCTGAAGCGGCCTCCGTAGTCTAGGAGTAATGTTCCCACCGCGTGACTCAAGGTATGCGGGTTCAAACACGGCGGAGGTCGTGGAATTTTTAAGGGCAGAAAAATTCAGGGAACAAGTCCTCTGGGAGGGACTTTAAGCGGTGGGTCCCATGTCGTAGCTTTACGGCATGTAAAAGAACCTCATGTCTCAAGGAGGCCTCTGAGCCAAATTCATAAGGACATTTCCCACCCAACAATAGTCTCTAACGCCTCTGGTAGATGAGGGAAGCATCTAGATACCGCTGAGCCAGTAGAGGCCGAACTCGCTGGCTGAGTAGGGACTGATGTTACACACCAGTACCGGTATGGTATAGAGACTGGTAGAATATCACAGGGGGACGTACAATAGACCACTGATCACGGTGCATGGGGAAACCCACCCCCTCCAATAATAATAATAATAAATACCTATCTGCTGTAACAGAAACTTGTTTTTACATGCTGCATAGGAATCAATGTCTTCAACAGTTCCACTGTTACCATGATTACTGAGACCTTTGCCACTGAGTAACCAAAGTTCTACTGTTGACTGAATTACACAAATTTTTCTGGTTCCATATCTGAATGCTTTGAGCAAGCCATCACAACATGTAACTTCTGTTACAACATGGTAGAGGAACAAAATGCACACTTAGCATTCAGTCTGACCATAATTAATGCTGGAGCTTCACATGTGCAATTATGTACAGAAAGAGCTCATATATATAAACAAACATTTATGCATAAACAACTGTTTGTGTATGTCAACAATTACAGACATGATGACTGTGTGAATCTCAGAGGTTATATCACAAATTTAATGTGTAAATTATATACATAAATACATGTCCTTGTTTCAAAACAATCTGAAGAAGAAATGTCAGACAGATTTTTACTTTACTATAATTTTCTTTTAAATACACTTTAATAAACTTCACAAGTTTCATGGGTACACTAAAGTCAGCGAGAATGTTATACAATACTTCTCTCCTACTCAAAGCTAGAAATAGGTTAGACACATATGTATGCCACATATGTAGTTCCAGAGAACTTTCTCAGGAAGATATTTCCAGTACCTTAAGACATAATAACTATATATTATTCTCATGAATAATACAGGTAGGAATGAATTCACAAGCCTTCTCTGTAATAATTTCCTACCCCCCCCAGCTTTTCTGCTGATCTGAAGTGCCTACATACATCTGAAAAGTCATTTCAACCTCTGTTCCTACCTGAATCATAGACTTTTTTAAAGGCTACAAATAGATGACTTACTATCCCAACGAACTCCATTTCCTTGTCCACTATCTGATGGATGCAGAATATTTGATTAGCACTTGATCTATAACACAAAAATCAAAACTGAGGATCCCAAATAATTTTGTCTAAATAAGGTGTTGGCCCAAAGAGCATAATCCTGAACAAAACAAACACTAACAAAACCATTGCTGATGATAAGGAATTACAAAATACACATGAGGAATGGCCTTCTACTGACATGATGTATGTGTAGAGCTGATATTCATTAACCCTTACTGGCAACACACTACATTACTGCATCAGCATATGACTGTAGTAAAACTGATAAAGCACCCAGCACTGCACTTTTGCAATAATAATACCATTATTCCCTGCCCATTAGCCCCATAATATCACGAGATTTAATATATCATAATTTAGGTATAATGGTTACTCCTGAGTTAAAACCCAGCCACTAATCCTAGAGTATCTGGAGATTTAAAATTCCTTATTCACACATGAATAAAGACAAAACTCAATCGTTGGTTCAAAAGTATATAAACATACATACATGACAAAACCATAAATTTGATATCTCCTTATGTAGTACACAAAATGTTTATGCAACCATTACTTACTCATAGGTGCCAGGCTTATTGATGCATGTTGCCCCATTTTGGCAACCGAGATCTGTTCCAGCAAAATGTGCACACTCATTCACATCTACACTGCACAGCAAACCCTGTAGAGATATAAATCACTACCATATATAATGATGTGTAAGACAACCCTCAAATTTGTAATTACAAATTTATGGTTGGGGCCATATCCACCTGGCAAAATGCATATAAAACATTAGGGCTATTTGGAAAGTAACCTTTTTAAGCAACTAATGTAAAAGTATGTAGGAATTTTGTATGTTATAAATTTCTTTCTCATTGCTTGTTTTGTTTACACCTCACCAGAGGTTACTTTCTAGATAGGCCTCATATTATTCTTACTAAGATTCATTCAAATTCTGCAAGATCCTCATCATCATTTTACATTATAAGTTCAGTAAGTACATACTGAAATACATTTGTAAGTGCAAAATCCTTGGATCAAACTCTGAAGGAGATGAAGCAGCTTTGATTTCAACTTTCTCCTTATCTTGCCATAGCAAATTTTCCTCTATATGACCAACTAAATTTGATTTACCACAATGTTTTAAATACCTAATGACAGCTTCTACACTATGATTTCAAACTTTTATGATAAAATCACATAGAACCTCCAGTCAAGCAAAAATTAATATTCCCACCTTCTGTGAATGACTTCTTGCTGAAACTAAGGCTTGTTGCATGAACCATAGAACGGAATTTATGCTGTTAACACCCATGCCGGTAGGTGTTAGGTTTACCCCACTATTAAAATTAAATAAAACAGTAAATGTGCATTTCATAGTCACTATGATGTTCAGCCCCATTTTACACAGGAACAGCTTAAACTAAAGTCGTGTGTATTTCAAAGATCTGTCAATACATAAAACTGAAATATAATTAGGATGTTGAAGAGAAATATAGTTCCTATAATTTCAGTTACAATGTCTGGTACTCACAGTATACTTTCTATTTGATGCTGGGCCATATGAAATTACATAAAAAATATTGTCCAGTATATATAAAACTCATGGTCCAATAGTAGCATAGTTGGTTGAGGCACTATGCTACAAGCCGTAAGGTCACAGGTTCAAATCACGATGAGGTCATTGGGTTTTTCAATTGACCTAATCCTTCCAGTTGCACTAGGGCCCTGGAGTCAACTCAGCCTCTAACAGAAATGAGTACCAGAAATTTTCCTGGAGGGTAAAGGTTGGCCAGTGCTACCACCATCTATGAGCTAACTGTCTAGAAGATGTGGGAGCCTCAAACTCTCACACCTTTATGGACCTTCACAGCCCATTACAGGGACAGCATTACCTTTTACCTTTATATAAAATGTGTGTAATTTTTAAAGAAATTTCATATCATAAAAATAGTATTGTAACATCCATGTACCTTCACAGTTTTGTAACTCATATTTATGTTCCAAGTAAATATTCTGCTATGTAACAAATTTAGACTACAAAGTACTGAAGCAGAGATCATATTCTAATAAAGGGCTAATATGATGTGAAGGTCTTAATAAAAGTTCGATAGATGAAAAAATACAGAGCCATATGGAGGCCCATTTAGTCATTAACATTTGTACTGCAGTGAAGTTAAAGTAAGAATACTTAATTTGCAAATGGTATAATTGCCTTTACAAAATTTATGATGAGAATTAATTCTTGTTCATACATAATAATTCTGATCAACACTTTATATGCAAATCTGAATATGAAACTTTTAAACACATCTGATAATGCTGAAAACCACTTCAGATGGAATTTTTCTGTACTGGCAGTTCTTTTCACAGCACAAGTGGAGAGCTTCAACTAGAACTAATAGTCAATGCATGAACCTTGATAATCTCTTCTTCACGTGAATGCAAAGTTATCATTTTAAGTTCATTATAATATCTACTTCAGTTCTGGTTACCGAATAGTTCTCTTTGGTGGAGGTAAAGGTTTTAATCTAAGAGCAATTTAAGTTCATGATAATATCTACATCGGTTTTGGTTACCAAAGCGTTCTCTCTGGTGGAGGTAAAGGTAATCTGCAAGCAAAAGTTGTAAGATCTGATCAGGAATAAACTCTATACCCTTGGAAAGAGAGTCAGTACCATACCCCAAGGCCACCAAGTCCAAAGAGATGAACCGAACAGTTGAAATTTTTAACTTTCTGAGTATGGAAACTATATTATCCTCAGTATTCATTATTTCCTACTGATTAGAAGACCTGAATTGAGGAACTGGTATTATAACTAACTCAGGTCGAAATCCAAACTGTTCGCTCGCCAACACGTTATTGTTAGTCAGATGATGACAAAGTCTTGCAAACAGCACTCTTTCAAATATCTTATATATATATATATATCTGATCATATGAATGGTTTCTTTCATACCCTAATGCCACAAAAAATTCAGAAAGGAAGATTCTGCTCACCTTCCAAGTTTCGGAAACTTAGGATTCAATTCTGTGTCTATAAGTTCAAGTTATCCAAAATTACCTGTCATAAACAGTACAACTCATCTAAAAAATATTTGGGCCCACAGCCTCCTCCTCTACAACTTCAACACTACCTTACCTCCCAATTGCTGGGACACTTGCAAAAGAATCCATTATAACTGTCAATGCATGTTCCACCATTTTGACATGGATTACTGGCACATTCATTAGTAGTGAGTAGTGTGCGCAACTGGCGCACTTGACGCTCCAGTAGAGCAACCTGTAAAAAGTTAGATATTAGTAATGCCGAACTTCAACAATAACCTGATAAAAGTATATAAATCCAGTGCCAGCCACTACTCACCCTCATGTTTAGAGCTGTTACTCTCCTCCCTAGAGGTCTAACCTTTAACAAACAAAAAACAAACAGAAACTCAAAACTGGTTGGACATTGAATACAATAAAGACATAGTGTAAGTTACTATTACACAAACTGCATAAATGACACTGTATGGTATTAATATATAAAAATATTGTTCCAAGAATTAGATAAAGAACACGTAGTAATGAAATATGAACTTCATAATAAGCCCCAATGAACAATCTATCCTGTCATTCTAAAAGCATTTTACAAATAACTGAGGAAGACTGCAGATATTTCAGTGAACCATGACATAACAACAATTAATTCTTCATGATGCAGAGAAACAGAGGCATTCACAGGAGCAGGAGCAAGAACCGTGCCAAGTTTATTGCACTGCTGACTTTATGAAGCTCAATATTAATAATACAAGTTACTTCTTTCCCTAGAGAAACTAATTATGAGCATAAACTTTGTTTATTTACTATAACCTGTACTACATTAAGGAGTATTCACTGACTCTAAAACATCATTTCCACAATTATGTTGACTGTATACAGTATATTTTTTTAATCTTTTTGCATCTAGTTCAAAACATTGATCTTTTCTTTTTCAGCCCTCTGCAATAACTGTTTCTCTCTTTGTGCCCATTAAATTTATGCTAATAACTTCCAAGATTCATACTTTACAGAAAGGGAGGTATCACTATACAAAAATTATGCTGAACATTAACCACTGTCTTGGGTACATTCAGAATACACACTGTTTCACAAACTGGATGTTGGGTAAGGGGGCAAGGGACGATCATACTCAACTGCCCCATTAAATGGACCTGGTCTTGTTCACTGGACAACCAAAGAATTTCTAAGTAGCATTTATATTATGTCAAATATCATCAGTGGGAGACAAGAATATAATATATTCCAAAGAGAGGTGTCTGTTGAATGTGAAATATCATCATCAGTGGTAGGTAAGAACAGAGAAAATAGCAAATTAGAATTAAGAAAGAACTAGAATACGAGACTGAAATCACCTGTTGGCACTCGCAAAATCCACCAGTCACTTCTTCACAAGAATTCAGAATATGTACAGCATTTAGATCATGTACAACACTACACAATTTGGTCCCACAAACAAAACCAATAAATGAGATATAGGAAACTAAGAACTGCAAAGCCACCCATGATGATGCAGAAAGAGATATAAAAGAGAGAGAAGTATAGCACTTCACACCACAATCACTCACCATAAATGTGACACCAAAATGGGAGATGGTATATAGAGCAGAGTACAGTAAGACAGAAACTATTCACAAATAAGAAAACAGCAATACTAGAAAACTGAGAGAGTCAATATTCATCAAAATGGGAGACAAGATGATAAGCCAACCAAGCAGAGATGTCAGCATCACATGGCTGCTCCTGCTACAAGAAAGGAAGTAACTGCACATATACACCAAGTTCAAATAACGACCACTATCAGTTCAGTCAGTGAAACACTGGAGCCTTTTTTTAGGTGTTCTAATGACTCTTTGGTGGTTTTAATGGATTTAAGTCATACCTACAGCAGAGTCCTCTTGCTTTATTATGGTTCTTGCATCATTTTTATTGGATACTTTCTTTAAACCTGCTAAGACTTAGATTTGACACAAGCAAAATACAGCATCAATTAGCTGTCTACATGGGTAAAGGAAAACATAACAGTGCAAATCAGCATTAGTACTTTCATCTCATGTGAAAAAAAGATCAACCTGATGATGAAAATTAAGTTTACAATCAATATGAATATAAAGACTTTAGTATCATAACTTAGCAATGTAAGAAAATTATCAATATTGATAATTTAGTATGCTCTTCTTCCTGGTGAAAGAAATTATCCTAATTTTACTAAGGTTAGGCGTGATATACTTAGCTAAATACAGATCATATACATGACCAATATCTGACTGTACAAGTAAACAATCACTACAGAATAAACTTTAAGGCCATAAGCAAAAATAAGACAGTCTGAATGTAATAATTAAATCACATACTCATAAATCATTAATAAAAATGTTAAGAAGCAACAGCTCCAAATCTAACCCTTGAGGTAAGCTTGAAAATACAGCAAATGGTGATGAGATACACCAGGAATAGAAACAAAAGTCTTTCTGTTTGTTACGAAACTATAAACTCAGTCTAAGTGACACAATCCATAATTATTAAGTTTATGAAAATCAGTGCATGAGGAATTATTTTGCGAGCTTTGCTGCAATCAATATAAACAGAAATATTTAAAAAAAAACTAAAGGGATACAAAATTAAAGAACACTGACTAAAATTGTAACAGCAGATTTCCATTTGGTGAAATCACGTTGGGAAGAGTTGAGCCTAGATTCAAAACAGCGGGAATTGCGGTATAATAAATATGAAACATTTACAGATATTATTAAGAACAGGCATGGACTTATAATTATCAACAGAGGAACTTCTGCCTTTCTTTGAAAACACAGATAATCACTCTTTGATTCCACAATTCAGGGAAACTGTTCTGAGATAAGCTACGATTAAAGATGAAACTGAAAGCAGGTACAATATTTTAGAATATCTCTTTATAACAAAACTCGGTATACCATCAAGCCTGGCTGATTTCAAAGGCTGCAGTAGTTTAACAGCATTCTGAAGACTAGAGTCTGAGATGGGAGTTAGATAAAACTTCCATATACTAATTAAGGGAAGAAAAAGGTCCAAAACAGAAACTACAACGAACAGCTTAAAAACTTTCTGTAAATCACTCAGCAATATCACAAGGTTTATTAAAAATGGTTCCACTGATTTCAAGCTATATTAAATAAGTATCTTCTTTCCTAAATCAAGACATATACTACCAAAATTGCTTAGGCTGAGATCTTAGACTTCTGTTGACATATTTGAGCCAACAAATTCTTTCAGACTCAATGGCTGTTTCAAAAAGTTTAAAGTAAAAAAAAGACTATCATAAAAACAATCTGATTTAAATTACCTGAAATGTCTAAAAAATACGTATTTATTCTGATCAATAAAAAATTTTAATTTGCCAGACACCAAGGAGGAAATTCATGCTTTCTGAAGTACCCAGAAGAAACAGTCAAACCTAAGGCTTACATTACAGTAATATTTAATTTGGGCTGTGTCATAGCTCAGGTGGTTAGTCACTAGGTTCCCATCGTGGCAGCCCAGGTTCAAGCCCACATCAGGTCATATGCGATTTTTGGTGGACAAAGTGGCATTGGCACAGGTTTTCTCTAGACACTTCGGTTTCCCTTGCCAATTCTCATTCCACCGACTGCTCCACACTCATCATCTGTCACCTGGTGCTGGTACAATAGGCCAGTTAGTGGCCAATGCACCAAGTGGACTCAGTAACACCCCACCCCAAGAAATATTTAATCTGTCATGGGTAGCATCAATAAATATTTAATTTTAAAGGGAAGAAAAGTCATAAATAAACAATATGACAATACATTGTACAGCATTGTATACTCCCCAGTAGAATACCTTTCAAAAGGTGCTTCTCAACAATGTGAACTTTAATACCTGGAGAAAAACAATGATCTTCAGTGTGTAAGTTAAGATCATCAATCATACCAACTTCTAACCATACAGATAATACAAAATAAAAATGTATAGAAGATCTATGTTTGACATTAGAAACAGCTTCAGAAACAACAATCAGAGCTATCATGGGCTCCATCAGCATAATACACAGCACACATTTAAGGACAATAATGACGACAGGAAAAGGATTAATTTAGCCAACTTTCTATTATCTATATGATAGTAATATCAAGACAGCACACATTGTCAGACAATTGGCAATAAATAAATTAAAGAAGGAGGGGAGGTGAGGATTGGGGGAGGACGGTAATAGTTTTGTGTTTGAAGAACTACCAGAAGTATCACTAACTCACAATGCCAGGCACAGTGCCATTCCTTACAGTCCTCTCCACCGCTGCTAACTTTATCTGCAGCCCTTGCGATCCAAGAACTGTATCAAATAAAGTTTGTACTTTCTCCTCCAGTGTCACCAAAACACTAGTGCGGATCTGCTCCACTGTCTCTGATGCAGTTCTTGCCTGTAAATAAAGACAAATGGTAGAAACACAATTGCAGGTAAGACTTGTGTAATACAACTGTCTCTTTATTTATAGGAGTAAATAGTAATTCATTCATACTCTCGTGATAACAGAGTACAGTAAAATTGCACTGCCTGGTCTGCACATGCCTCTTGTATCTTCTTCAATCAGCTGATGAGAAAGTTCAAGGTGTCTCAAGAAGGTTCTACAGCTTTCCGTTTGGGTGGCATATCTGTACACAGAAAGGCCACAGCATGCTAGAGTTCATTAGCAAATCAGAGGTTTCCAGTGCCATGCAGAGCTGAGAAGTCAAGAAGAGTTCAGTGTAGTATAGAATGGTCAAATCGAATTTGAAGTAAGCAAATACAGTGTCATGACCAGTGGCACTGCTGCTAAGTAATGAGTGAACAGATAACTGATCTCAAGCGTATAAGTGGTTATGTATTGTGGGCCAGTAATTACCCTACAAATTCATAATTGTTGCAATACATTGGGTTTATTTAAAAATATCTAGGTTCATACAAAACGTTAAAAAAAGACTATATAAACCTCCTATATATGAAATATATTACAATATTTATCTTGTTTTGGAGCAGTCGTTCTCAGTCTGTCACTTATGATCTTGATGTAAGTTTGTACAAGTATGAGTTCACCACTATTTCATTGCACACTACCGCTCTTTCTTCTTGGTGCACTGGTTCAACACACACAAACTCTGTACATGGTATATTCTTGAACCTCTGTGCAGGATCTCACGATCAACCTTAGCTTCCAGAACTAACCTGGTGGGGGAGGCCATGGCACTGCTTGAAAGAACTGCATGTGCAATGCTCCCATTCCTCACTCACATAACATCATTTAGCTCAGATGAATATAATTTGAATCACTTATGTTAATGAAGTGTTGTGTTACATTTAAAACCATTTACAGGACATATTTCACTTGTGCGGATGCTTTTAGCTATGCCATCACTAATATTGAATACTGTGGCATGTAGGCCTTTAAGAACAGACTCTGTAAACAAGCATGTTTCCACAGCAACAACTGGAGACAACAACAGGAGAACAGTGTTTTCTGTGTTGAGATGTTTTAAGCAGGATAGTTAGTAAAGACAGTAACTCAGCTACAGTAGATCTTGAATGGATCTGGTGATTCAAATGAAATGTGTGTTGGACAGAGTTATTTTTTAAGGACTTCGCTTTATGTAATGTTCATGGCCAACTCCCATTTGGCAAAGGTGGTGTCAGTGAAGTTTGCCGCTTGGCCACGTGTGTGCTCAGTGCTGTGCAAAACATCAAAACAAGCGGTGAACTTTAGTGTACACCAAGCTAGTGGATGTCCCAGTACCGGGATTCCAGAAATAAGTGAACACAACTTCAGTGGAATCAATGGCCCAGGATGAAGACTTCTATGAAGTTAAGAGATGCAAGGGGCATATATCTAATGATAGCCCACAGACAACCAAGAAGTCGACTAAACCAGTCCCAACATCCACAGCTGTCAAGCTGTCTCCAAAATTAGTGTTAAATCACAACTTCTTTGCAACTCTAAAAACTACTGAAACAGAGGACACACTACTGGAGCAGAAGGCCCTCAGGAAACCAGGTAGGCCACCACCTGTAGTGACGACTTCTACCAAAAACCTCATTCAATTCAAAAGCTACTTAAAAGACTGAGTGAAAGGAGAGGAAAAGTTCCGAAATACACGAAATGGAACCAGTATCATATTGAAAAAATGGCGAATTATTCAGCCATGAAACTGTATCTGGAGAGAAATAATCTCCATTATTTTACCTTCTCCTCAAATTCCAAGACCTATAAAGGCAGTAATCCTCGTCTTTTCCCAGACACACCTGTGGAAGATATTTCCGACGGCCTTGAGGACTTACACTTCAAAGTCACCAACATGAATCAAATAACGGTCACTCGAACAGCGCCCAATTGGGCAAAACCACATTGAATTCCTCCCTCTATCCCTGCTCAGTAAACAGCTGTGTAAATAGCTGTGGCCTATTGTGAAATAACTTATGAAAATAGATGGACCAAAGGCACCAACTCCTCTTCATGGACCTTTAGGAACAAAGAATCACCCAAATGTCATAGCCAACATGACTGCAGATTGTTTAGAAAACCAGTTCACGTCTCATGCCTTGTGTGAAGAAAACATGAGGAAAGGGTGAAGACTAGAGTTCGAGATCTGCTCGCATCTGTAGATGACACCCCACTGGGGAAAGTATGACCTTCTGACACACATAAATTATCAAATTTATTGAAATTCAGAAAGGCTTGTGGACTTGATGGTATTTCAAATGAATGCCTCAAGCATATTCCAAGACCATCACTGGTAATCTGACATACTTATTTAATCACTGCCTTCAGTTGTCCCATTTCCCAAAGCCTTTGAAGGAATCAAAGGTTACATTACCGATAACCCTGGCAAGGATCCAAAATTCCCTCAAAATTTACAACCGATAAGCCTCTTGTCCACAGCAGGCGAGCTATTCAAGAAATTTATTCTAAAAAGACTCCAAGGACACACTAAAGAAAGGGGCCGGCTTAATGCAAGCCAGTTTGGTTTCTGTGCCCATCACAGCATGACACTTCAATGTATGAGGCTTACAGACGAAATCACCTTAAATTTCAAAAACAGAGGTCTATGGCTGCAGTACTCTTGGGTACTGAAAAAGCATTTGATAAAACATGGCACCTTGGCTTGCTATATGAATTATCTACATCAAAATTTTTGATCAATCTAATCAAACTTATAGATCTTCTCTTTCTCAGAGATATTTCAGAGTTTCAGTCAAAGGTAAAATATCTATGCCAAGGAATATACAAGCAAGGGTCCCACAAGGTTCAGTCATGTCCCTCACACTGTAATTGTAATTGTAATTTTGGCAGCAATCTAATTCAAAATAGTCTCCTTGGGAACATATACAGTGATCCCATCATTTTTCCATGCTTCAAAAGCACCATGGAAGTCATTTTCCCTAATGCTGTCGAGTGATTCCCTCTGGTTGCCAGACACTGTTTCAAAATGTCATCACTTCAGTTTAATTTTCTTTTTGGGAAATAAAGCAAAATAACCATGTTGTTGTTAGTCATAAATTCTATGGTTTTCATGGACATGTGAGCAGGTGCATTGCCATGATGAAGGAGCCATTTGTGGTTGCACCAAAGTTCCAGTCATTTACATCACACATTTTCCCTGAAGCATCTCAAAAAGTCACAGTAAGCCAGAACATATAAAGGTTTCAGTCATATTAAAAACTGAATTTCCTCAGGATTCCACAGTAAAGTGTCAGCTTGCCTTCAGCTCAAAAGTACACATGATCACTGTATGTAAGGTGTGAACAAAAAGGTTTGAAAGGAAGGCTATAAGGGCATCCCTTAATGACATGCCTCATCCCACTCAGCTCAGATTCATAAATATCTGCATAAGCTTAAAAAATTATTATAGAATACATAAATTAATATTTCAAATGATGCCAGAGGCAACAGAATAGTCTTTAATCACCTTCTTAGCAAGCATTGCAAGGTTCTCATTATTGAGGTTGACGTAGCCACGACCTGAAGTGCGCAATGTGATGTTCCGATCCAAACCACTAAATAGTACGAGATTGCCATCTTGTGCTAGAATTCTAGGCCTGAAACAAAGTTATCACTAAAATGGACAGGAAATGAACAAAATGAGACTCACTGAAAATGAATTATATTACTGCATGATCAACCCTCTTTGTCAAATGCATACTCTGCAGCTACTCAGCTACCATTTGTATAGTTACTTCAAAACAAAGCTGTGATGTACATATGTTCACCTGCCATAAGGTACTTCTTGCAGCTGACACCAGAAGTTCTGCACATCATCCAGCCTCTCACAGAACCATTACAGTAGGGACTAGGTGAATTTTGATCATGTTACAGTACATCCAATATCTTTCACCCATCAGTTCACTACATCACCTGCATTTAATACTGTGCATATTTGTCTGTTTAAAACTGTAAAGGTTTACTTACTAAAATGTACTGTACTGGATTCCTGCACAAGCTTTCTCATGCAACCAGCACACAACATTCCCCATATATTCTGGACCGCTGGTTGTTTACAGTACCAAGAATAACTAAATTAATTAGAAAGAAAAACTTTTTTTTAAAATACACCAGTTATATGAAATGTGATGAATGCTACATAGTCTGAATTACTGACAGCATCTATAAATAAACTACAATTAAATAATATGATTTTAAAGGCAAATTAATGACTGTATGAGTGAAAAATAACTTATATCCAACATTGGCATTACAGCATTACCCCTGCCACCTATGGATTAAAAGACATATATGTCACTCCCATCACAAAGGTTCATATTACTTGAATTATGGTATTATTATTGGCAACGAAATAAGAAGCATAAAAATGGGGTTGCCTCCAATGTTGTGATATCTCTATCAAAATCCAGATAATCCATTATGAAATGGAACATGGCTCTGTGTAATTCGACAGATAAGCACCAACATTTGCAGGACAGTGACAGCCTCTTCTATCCTGAAGATGGAGACAGCAAGTGCCTCCGAAACGTTAATACCTACCTAACAAAGAAGTTTCTTCTATCCTTTAGATGGAAGCAGCAAGTTCCACCGAAACGTTCGTAGCTACCTCACTACATGGAAGTTTCTTCTATACTGATGATGGAGGCAGCAAGTTACCCCAAAACGTTAGTACCTTACTACGCGGAAGATTTTTATATTCTGAAGATGGAGGCATAAAGTTCATCCGAAACATTAATACCTAACTAAGCGGAGTTCCTTCCGCCCTGAAGATGGAAGCATCAAGTTCCTCCGAAACGTTAGTACCTAACTACATGGAGTTCCTTCTAACCTGAAGAGGGAGTCAGTGGGTTCCTCCGAAACGTTAATATGTACCTAACTACGCAGAGTTTCTTGTACATTGAAGATGGAGGCAACAAATTCCTCCAAAACAATGGAACCTATCTAGCAAAGTTCAAGACATTTTGAGTCTCTTCTGCGAATTCAGCTTGGCTGATAACACTTAAATACAATCCTGTCATGGCGTGTGCCTATGAAGTTTATATTGCAAATAGTTCGACATTATAGAGAGAGAAGAGTTTTAACCTTCAAACTTTATACAAATATCTGGGCACTAAATTTTTCACATAAGACAGTGAACTCTTTATTCAGGCATTAAGCTATTCCTCTGGGTTTATGCTTTTGAGACAATGAGATATAATTCATCTAAAATAATTCAATTTCTTTGCACTCACTGCGTATCAAAAACAACCTGTCCTCTTGCCTCTAGCAGGAAAGGAAGCAATACCAATAACACAGACCAGATGATCTCCAACATTGTGTATGTTCACCATCAGGTCTGCAAACAGAAGGCATATGAATAATAACACAACTACTGCCACACATATTATCTTTACAGTTATGCATCTTAATAGCGATGTTCTCATCTTGGTAGTGTCAAGAATTCTCTCTTCTCCACATCATGCAGATCGGCCCTGGGGCACCAGGGGCTCTTTCACAAGTAGTAAACCAGGCAGGGCATGAAGCTGTCCAGTCACCACCAACTAGTGCCAAGGTCAAGAAAACATGGATGTATACATCCACTTCCCCAGACATCTTCATGGGGCAGTGCTTAATTAGTTAAGCACAGGAAAAACTTCACCTTTTACTATTACTTACAAGGCAACCACTTCAGAACCCAGCTAGAAGCAGTTTCCATACAAATCTAACAGACCACTTATTGAAGTTACTGCTTCCTAATCACTGTCACAAACGAGGAATTCGTGGTCTGGGGTGGCATTTCCCAAAGTTGGAGCAAGAGCATCCCAACAGATGAAGCTTCTCTGATGCCCACCAAATAAAACTGGCCAATAGCAAAGCTCAAAGATACCAAAAGGCCATATTAAATTACAAGCATACAATTTAACAGAAAAAGTTGTCACAGAAGTCATTAAGGTTCATAAGTAATTTTTCATTTCTCATATACAAAGTACATATGAGAATGCAGAATTATTGTGATTATGTAAAAGATTAAACACGAAATTTAATGGATTTGCACATTCTGAGCCATCCCAAATATGACACAAAATTCTGGGAAGAACTAATAACATACAAGTGTAAGTCAATAAGTAAGTTACAAATGGATAAAGTAAAGTAAAGCTATCCCTGTACCAGGCCGTGAAGGCCCACAGGGTTGTGAGACAATGAGGGTCCCACATTATCTAGACAATCAGCTCAAAGATGGCGGTAAGGTTGTCAGCCTTACACACCGGCCACGCTTTACTCCCCAGGAAAATTATTTAATTAATTCCTGGTACTCATTTCTGTTAGAGGCTGAGTCAACCCCAGGGCCATAGTGCGGCTGGAACGATTAGGTCAATTGAAAAAATCCAATGACCTCACTGGGACTTGAACCCATGACCTTCCAGCTTGTAGCATAGTCCCTCAACCAACTACACTACCGTGTGCCCCCCAAGTTACAAATGGATATAGAACTTAAACAAATAAGAGTACTGACTTGAAAAATGCTTTTATTTCTCAACATAATCTCCCTGTACATTGAGGCTCTTGTCCCATCATTTCACAAGCCCCTGAAAACCAGTAGCATAAAATTCTTTTGGCTGCTGTTGGAACCAGGCGGTGACTTCCCTTTCTACATCTTCATCGTCGGGAAAATGTTCAGCCAAAAGATGATGTTTAAGAGGGCCAAACAAATGGAAGTCACTTGGAGCAAGGTTGGGAACAATTTGGAAAGAAGCAGTCATAGCCAAATGAAAGTACTATCCCAGCATATTCCTGGAGGGCCTGAGGAAAGCCATGAAAAATCTCAGCCACAATAGCTGGATTCCTGGTAAAGACTGGAAATAAACACCTCAGAATACAAGTGTCAATATTATCTCCAGACCAATCTGTTTGATATGCATGTCCTTTGTATGTGTATATATGTCACTTCTTTTAAAATTTCACATGAATGGTTCACTATGTCTCCCTCCCCCTTAACGTAAATAACATCATTTCTTCAAATTTAATTTGAAATACAAAACTAGTAAATTCATATGAAATAGAAATGACTGAAAAGTCTGAAAATGTTAAGTAAGGCTTGCTATTTTAACATTATACAGTTTCCAAGGAGACAGGATAGCTCATGCAGTATAACGGTGGGCTACGGGCTGGATGACCAGATTTAGATTCTCGGTAGGACCAACAGGTTTCTTCCTCTACTCTACACCATCCAGATGTCTTTGGGGACTGCCCAGCCTCCTATCCAATGGGTATCAGGGGATTTTTCCCTGAAGGGTAAAGCAGCTGGCATAAATCTGGCCACTCACTTCCATCTAATGCCAAGGTCAAGAATGGTGAGTTATATGTCCACTACCACATGTATTTATGGCACAGCGCTTAATTAACTATGCACATGGAAATCTTTACCTTTCTTCTTTACCTTTTATAGCTTCCAGGAATAAATTACAGTGACAGCACTTGATGTTGACTCATATATAAGAAATTAAACATACACACAGCCAAAAACACAATGCACAGACCCTGGTAGTTTGCTGACTTAACAACAACTGCACTCACCACTGGAGCCTCTCATTCACAATTGGAAACCCTGCAGCCAGACAGACACACCAGGCTCTGGTGGGCGGAGCAGGTGTCGGGTGTCGCATCCTCCCAGTAACTACAACAAATGGTCAGTCAAGAATAAAACATGTGAAATATCTCTGATTCCAAGGGTGAACAAAATCATTAAAACAGAGTCTAGCTAACAATTTTAGGAACAAGGAATAAAAAGGTTTCCATATGACCATATTACCAGTTTATGTCACATATATTTAACATTTAAGCAAAAACATGCCATTTCAACTCTGTCAAGTTAGCATGCATCTTCCCCACCACACACACACACACACACACACAAAATTCTAAGCTTAGTACAAATCTTTTAGCACAATTCATATGGTAAACATAAATGAACAAGAATGAGTAGCCAGAGGCAGGTGATATTACATGACTCCAGTGCTTGAGATGGAATGAAAATAGAACCGGGATTGTTTTCCCCTTTTAATTATGAAAATATACTGAGTGATGTATATAGTAACGGGATGCTTTTAATCCATTTAGAAAAGAACCGGGATGCCATCCCGCTGCATCCTGCCCACCTCAAGCCCTGCATGACTCTTATATTCTACAATCAAGTGTTGTAGAGTTTCTACAACAGAGCTCAAGATGAAGAAAATATCACACGGCATAAAATAGTTAGCTTGTCAGTATGTATAACTCTTGTCTGAAATACACTTTAATTCAGTGCTTACTTAAAGTTCCATCAGGATTTCCAGTATCCTAATTTTGTTACGCATCATCTTTCCTTAAAAAAGGCACATGTTTGAGCTGACTTATGGTTGATTACCTAGCATGGAATTAGCTGAGCACTAACATTTAGCAATCAGTTCTCCTACATTGTACTAATTGTGTAACTTGATCTACAAATAGTTTAGATTATGACAAATGAACAGCATTTTGTTTTCATATACTGTTACGGTTTTGTGACTTTTGAAAATATCCAGATAAGTGACATGTTATAGTCAGCAGGCCTAATTATTATGGAATGAAAATTAGTCTGTAAGATTTAGAGAAACGTTCTTCCAAACAGGTATAACAAAGATGTCCATACAATAAGGGTCAGTATAATCATACTGAAGTGCTCTAACATGAACCAAAAACACAAAGACAAAACAACTCCTTCCAGTGTGACTACTGAAGTTTTTACTACTTGAAAACTTAACACCCTTACATGTTTCGGTCCCTATAGACCATCATCAGAGGGACATCGATACTTTTTGGAAACTACTATCACAATGGGTGTTTTGAGTGTTAAAATACATATACATACAATGTTTGTAATGAACAATATATAAAAAATCCAACTTTTCCACAACTACAGCAGCTTTCTTGGTATATTAAAGTTTTTAAAACTTTGTTATTTAAGTTAAAATTTATAAACCAAGTAGGTTCGTGTCCCTTCTCCTATCGTCTTTCTTGATGGGGGCCAAACTTGTGCTCCCTGTCTATCTTGAGAACTTCGGCACAAGTTCAGCCCCATCAAGAAAGACGATAGGAGAAGGGACACGGACCTACTTGGGTTATAAATTTTAACTTAAATAACAAAGTTTTAAAAACTTTAATATACCAAGAAAGCTGCTGTAGTTGTGGAAAAGTTGGAATTTGTATACACTGTGCATTACAAACATTGTATGTATATGTATTTTAACACTCAAAACACTCATTGTGATAGTAGCTTCCAAAAAGTATCGATGTCCCTCTGATGATGGTCTATAGGGACCGAAACATGTAAGGGTGTAGTAAAACCTTCAATAGTCACACTAGACGGGAGTTGTTTTGTCTTTGTAATTTGTTAGTGCGATGGACCAGAATGAAACAAATCAAAATGACCAAAAAACTGTCAATTAACATTCCTGAAACCACTGGACCAGTACATCCTAAGTCAAAAGAGTGGGTTGCTCCCATCTCAGAATTTCTCATATCTGCTATGCCTGTATTACTGTCAGCAGGAAACAAATAGGTACAAAGGTGCAGTGACCTCTAGTGGTATGGCCATTACATAACATACAAAACTATGTTTCATTTTGCTTGACATTTTTTAACCCAACATGTACCTAATGCAGAGGGAAATCCTGTATGTCTGTCTGTCCATATGTATATTGCAACCCTAATACTACACTATGAACTTCAATGAAATTTGATATTATGGACCTAACTAAAACCTATAGTGAAAATTTAAATTTTATTTTTATAAGTCAAATATAATCTCTGCTCCACATGAAGCTCAAGTAACACTTTACCAAGTTCCTCAGAAACAGCTGATAAAGTAAAATTTCCTACATAGCATAAATAAAGGGCTTATTAAGAAACGCAGCTTATATTCAGAACCTTCTTTTATTTTTGATATAGTAAATATTTAATGACATGTGGAAAATTTTCTGACTTGCAGTATACATATCCAATCACTTTATAAAATGAGAGAACTCTGTAAGGAGAACGGGAATGGACTGGGTAGGAAGCATTTATGGTATGGACAGTTTCAAATGACTAGGTGTAAACTGAGCAAGACCTACAACAGTGTGAACTGTGATGTTTCCAAACAATTCCATGTTTCACTGCCTGTTCCATCTGTTCCCCATATTACTCAACTCAACTGTAGCAGCTAAATATCTCCACGTCTTGCAAAGGCAAGCTAAAATTAACATAATACAAAATATAAATTTAAATGACACTGTCAAAATTGGCTGGTATTCAACCCCAGTTCTGCATGTGCTATTCATCATGGGGCAAAGCACATAGATCTGGTAATTCTTCAGTCTGAAATTTCACAGAAATATAATTTCTAAGCACAGAGCGTTCTGCCAACTGTGTGAACTTGGAGTTCAATCAGTACAGCCATTTTATTAAAATGCTTCAACGCTGTGCAATGTAATTTGACTCTCCACTGAGTGCAAGCTGGTACCACACACCCACCACCACAAGAATCATGTGACTACTGTCTCCAGTTAGTTCACAGAACCTTGTCACTGTGCAGAGGCAAGAGGCAAATCAGACAGAACCCTAGACAGTAGTTCAGATATTATTAGTAAATAATGCATTTGAAAAGATCTGTGGCACTAGCCTAGCATTCATCTGCACTGCCTAAATAAAACCACAAATATCTAAAAATATGTGGTCTTCAGATGCTATCTGATCCCAGGACTTCCTCAATACAAAGCACGAGTGCTACCAAGATGAGTGAAATGTCTGATACATCATTCAATTTAAGCAGTATGTTGGTTTCATATTCTGGAGATATTCCATTAATGTCTTAATTAGTCTATCAGGACTTAGGGCTTCCATAAGTTTCTTGTCCCTCCAGGAAAATGTTAATACAGGGTGTCCCAGGTGTTTGGTGCCATACTTTAGGAGCGTACTGAGGGTTCCCTATAGAACAACTTTGAAATAGGAACCCATGTCTGCAAACATAAAATAGCAGCACTAGGGCAGCATTTCATATCATTTTGTTTAAACTTGGCGCCTCAATGTCAAAGAGCATGCCTAGGCATATTACCCCCTCCAAACTCTTAAGACTCACCTGCTAGAGTAGATGTTGGAATTGGCGCCCTCCATTTTCAATGCATGGGTTACATCGACGAAAGAAACTCTGGCACACCTTTTCAAATATTCTAGGTGTCTCATGGATCACGTCACATGCAACATGTATTCAGGCCAACAGCTCAAATTCATTATCCACAGGCGTGTCGTAGATCAGGCTTTTCACATGGCCCCAGATGAAATAGTCCAGAGGTGTCAAGTCTGGGGATCGGGGTGGCCAAGGCAGTGAGCTTCCTCTTCCTATCCAACAACCATGAAAAGCAGCATCCCGGTAGTCTCATGATACAATGCTGAAGTGTGCCGGCCTCCTTCATGCTGTATCCACATTTGCCTCCGCAAAATCAGTGGCATGTCTTCTAGCAAAGTCAGAAGGATACGTTCCAGGAACACCTTGTAAAAGGGCCCATTGAATTGCGGTGGTAGGAGGAAAGGCCCAATCAAGTTATCGCCAATGATGCCCACCCAGACATTGACAGAAAATTGCGCCTGGTGGTAACCAACTGCAGTAATGTTGGTGTTTTCGTCAGCCCAAATGTGGCTGTTTTGACAGCTGAACCAGCCATCTCTTGTAAACTGCACTTTGTCTGTGAAGAACACATGATTCAGGAAGTTCAGCTGATGTAAACACTGGTTCAGTATCCACTGACAAAATTGAACTTGTGGTATGAAGTCAGCTGGACCTACGTTGTGTACTTGCTTTGGATGATATGGATAAAGTTGTTGGTCGTGCAGGATCCTCCAAACACTTGATTTTGATGTCCCCACAATCTTGGCAATGGCACGAGTGCTGGTGGATGGCTGTTCCTCTATGCAAAGCAGTTCGACATTGAAGCACAAAGTTTAAACGAAATGATTTTAAATATCTCCCTAGCACTGCTATTTTATGTCTGCGGACATGGGTTCCTATTTCATAGTTATTCTATAGGGAACCCTCAGTATGCTCCTGAAGTATGGCACCAAACTCCTGGGACATCCTATATAGTAACTTCAGATATGCTACAACTGTTTCCTTACACATCTGTTCTAAGTTGATCCCATACTTATTCTACATGAGGCAACAAAGTATTTTCATTACTGAATAACCAGAAAATACTGTGTAACAGATAAACACATAACATGTCTTATCACAAACCAATTTCATTGTAATTATGGGTAATGAATACGTACTTATTAATTTAGTAACCATCAGAAAGCAACAAATTTCTTAACATTGTTACTTGGTCAGCATACAATCAAATATTGTTGTTATTCCACTCAGAACATGTTTCATCTCAGATGAGCCATCATTAGGTGATATATCAGGAATAAACAATTACAGAATTCATGTAAAACTACAATGCTAGTATAAATTTGAAAAACTGATAGCTACAGTAGGTCAGATTTGCCTTTATAACATGAACACATAAAGGTAAAGGTAAAGGTAAAGCTTCACCTGTAACATCCAATGG